CCCATATACATCTACACTGATACTCGATTAAGAATCAAAATGCAGATGTATTGTCACCCTAAGATGGAAAGCCTCGTTTCCAGAAACAAGGATCTCCGGATCTCTACACTCACCGCAAGAAACGCAGCTGTATTAAGCTGCTATTTTATGCTAATATTCTGTAAGAGCGTGTTCCTGCCCCGGTCAAGCCGCAAAGTATTTTCTATGCGGTAAACTATTTTCTTGCACTGGGCTAAATAAGTCGTAACAACAGTACATTCCACCAGTTATTATTTTTTTATTTAACCATAATACAATAACAACTTGTTAATCCCTAATTGTCATGACTCAGCATCTAATATTTTACAAGTAGCAATAATATCACAACAACATGTTGATCATGAATTGTTCTGAGTAAGCTTTTGTTATTAGATTACTCGCCAATTTGTCGTCTATCCAATAAGAAAGGTTTTTGAAAATTTTATCCCTAAGAAAGTGTAATAGGATGTGTCTGTTTGTATGAAACATTTTATTTTACGGGGCGATTGCCATGCATCTTATTGAAAGTACTCTGTAAATAAAAGAAATTAAACATATTTAGAGACTTTTTTCCAAACAACTTCCTTTCAGGGGAGGGAACTCAAATTTATATGAACAAAATATAATTTAGGTTTTTTTTAACTTGTAAACTACAAATAATATTGAATTAAAATAAAAAATATCTATTTTTTATTTTTGAAAAAATGTTAAGCTTTTTAAAACGAGGTCGAGTTTGGATAAAAATACTGTATTAAGAATCATAGCCGGAGCCGCTGATCGTAGAAGTGTGAAAACGCCTACATAATAAAGGAATCCGTCCCGGGTTCTTTTATTACGTAGGCATCCAATAAGAAAGGATTTTGGAAAAGTCCTAATTGGGTAAAATAGTGTTACAGTTTGTATAAAACTTTTTCTTTTCCGCGGTGATACCGAAAATACTCTAAAGTACTCTCTAAATAAAATAAATGATTTATTTAAAACAAACAGCTCGTTACTAGGGAGAGGGGGGGACAGAGGGTGTCGAAATGAGTATGACGAAAAAACAATAAATAGTTTTTTTTATTTAGATACAGGTGCAAATATTGTAAATGTTTATTATAACAATTAAAAAAATATTTTTAATTGTGTTTAGTGCTAATTAATTGCCTTTGAGCTTTAAAAAAAGAACATTAAAGATTTAATGAAAAATAATGTATGTAGATGCATAGTCCAAATTATTGAATGTAGGAGCGAGTAACTGGATCAATAGCTTCCTTTTATTACGTAGGCATTGACTAAGAAAATATTTTGGAAAATTTAAGCCCTTCGAAGTTGGAATAGCGTGTTACAGTCTGTGCGACACTTTTTATTTTACAGAGCGATTTCATGTTTTTATGGGGAAACACTAAAAAATTTCTATACGTTGTAAAAGATTTCTATACGTTGTGTGTAAAAGATTTCTATACGTTGAAAATTCGTAAAAATATTTCTTGGATAAAGTACAATATTTTTGAAATAAACTTTGCAGCCACGTTTTAAGAGTACATTTTTAATTAAGTGTAAGTTTTTGAAAAAAAAATTTAAATGATTAAAATGTCACTACTTACGCTATTTTTAGTTTTTCGAAACCATTGACATATAAAGGTTAAAGTTAAAAAGTTGAGTTTGCGCAAGAATAAAAAACAATGTTTGCGTGAAATAAAATGGTTTTTAACGTGCTATAAAACGAAATCAGGATAATACCTATACATTTTAGAACATTACAAAATGTAATATATACTTAAATTTTAAAGTATTTACCCTTTAAAATTTACTCTTAAAAAGATGGATCGATAAAAATTCGTACTTAGGATTTAGATTACAAAACTAAGAAATATCTATATTAGGATTTTTTTAAGTTCCTCTTCAAAGGGAAATTTATATGTTACTTATTAAAGTTTCTATTTAGGCTGTAAATTAAAAACTAAAAGACAGTTTTTTCATTATTTTTACCAATTATACTCTCAATGTGTTAAAATTAAGGGCCTATACTACCTCAAATGGCTTAGCAAGATTTTCAGTTATGTCGAAAATATTTCATATATGGTAAAGTTAAGGATTAATCTTAAATACAATGTTAGACGAAAACACGATTCCGTAAAGTTTTCTCAATAGAAAAAAAGTCCAAAATTACCTCCAAACCGAACAATAAACCGCTGGTATTCATAAAATACTTTAAATTAGATTACGAAACTTTGCATACTAACTGAATTAACTATAAAGCAGGACTTATGTTTTTTTTTTAAATTAACATTATTTTCACTGTCAAAAGAAATTATCTAAACTATCAGCGTCCTGAACCTTGTTCCCTGCCACTCGATCAGTCTCACTTCGGCTTTCGAACGGGAAAGCTGTGTCGCTTACGATCAGAGTACACATTAAGCAACAGGCGACGTAAAATTAAAATGGGAAATAACAGTAATGAAAACAAGAAGCGACTGGGTTGGCGTAAATAAACAGGCATAAATATGATAAACATAATCTGTTTTCCCTATAATTATTGTTGATTTTGTTAGTTAATGTTTTTGTATAAAATATTTAAATATCATTGAGACGTGAGTAAACATTTTTTAAATATTTTTTCTGTACGAACTAACCTTCGGAATAGCTGAACCCATTGCAATAAAAATTTTTCGTACTACGACCACAATATATATAATATGGCTCTAACACGTACATATATCATCCCCAATATATTCTCTTTACCACTTGATTTGTTTTTATAGAATAAAGGTGACAAACGAGCACACAGTCCACCTGATATTAAGTGGATGCTGTGACCCATAGACATCTATGTCCTCGATTAAGAATCAAAACGCAGATTCGTTGTCACCCCTGAGGACTAAGGTGGAATGCCTCATTTCCAGTAAAAAAGGGTCTACGAGTATATATTGTATGCAGATGATCTCCAAATATATTTACTAATAATTATTGAAGATCTTCCTAAAGCAATCGAATGTATCAATATAATGTGGAAAGGATCTAGCTTATATTTTCGACTAAAATTAATCGTATGGGTTAACTGTGAAACCTTTGATCTCCCAAGTCATAATTATTGGGAATTCAAGATTCATTTGCAAAATAAAAAATGTCAATTGTAGTCCGTTCATATTTAATAGTGTCCTTATCCCTTATTATGTACGTAGTTAAAAATTGAGATATCCTTTTGGATTCCTGTTTTCCTGGTATTTCTTGGACTCTCCAAATTAATGCAGTGAGCCGTAAAGTGTTTGCAGCGATAGCTTTACCCCCTGAAACTTATTTTTAACCATTTCCTAATATTACTTACTAATATTACTCTTGCACAATTTTTACTACTCCCTATCTATTACTACTCAACTATGGTGACATTTATTACCTTGATATCACCGAGGAGCTACTTAAGAAACACTAGCGAACCTAAAATCTCTTTATACGGTTCATATTTTGGCTTCGTAAATATGACCATATCTTGGAATACCGTACTAAACTCAAGTGGGTCCCACTCTGCCTTCTCGCACACTCATATTTTTTCTGCCCTCCATCTCCCTGCGTCTTATTTATTATATCATTTCCTCCCTGTCAACGAGAACGTTTTAAATTGCTTAGCTCCTGTCACGTCTTTTGCATTCTTCTATATTTATGATAAATCATTCTCTGTCCTTTGAGAAACACTTTGTTACTCCTTGCCCTATTCGATTAAAAGTGCAGAATCCTCACATGTGTTCAAAAAACAAGTTAAAGAACATAAGTTGTCTCTCTAACCCCCTCTCTCTTTCTCCATTAATTTATGGTCATTGATCGATCCAGTCTTTTCAGTGCATATTTTGGTATCGTTTCTTAATTTAGTGTACCCTACCCGTTGATCTGTCTCTTATTTTATTATATTATTTTCTGAATTGTCCGGAAGAGATTGCTGTGTAGCAATAAGAACGCGTTTTGGTATTTCCTCAATATTTGTTTATTTTTGTTATATTTATCTTTCCTTGGTGTATAGTAAAGTTATTACATCACATTTTCTCTTTCTACCCGTACCGTTTGTCACATACCCTCTGTAACTTATTGAATTCCCGTTGTTTTCTGTTTATTGGCTCGTCACTATTCGGAAACTCAATTTCATATATATACTATCATTGTCTCCGTGTGTCCAAACCGTATAAATATTTCATTCTGTATCCCTGTCTTTTCATCAAGGTATTAGTTATATTAGGTATAAGTTTTTCTCAACACAATAAAAGTGAAAAGTAAATATTGAATTTATCACTATATACTTACTACTTTTACTGTGTTTTGATTCCTCTAATTATTTTTATTATAATATTTACAACACATCACTTACATTGCTCACACAGTTGGCGAACTACATAAGTCGAAATACAAATCCTCTATGTGCATTTCTGCACATACGAATTTTTTTAATGGTTCAAATACATATGGAATTTTTTAGAATCGTTTCTAGTTCGTAAATTACTAAAAGAACTTTATCAACACATAGAGACAGAGAACAAAACGGAGATTATGTTCAGTGAAAAAAATAAAGAATAAAATAATGCACATATGGAATTTGGCAAGCCCAGCGACGATATACGGTTCCTTCTTTTGTGACTCATTTTTATTTTAAGCACTTTTTAGGCAACTTAAATACGATTTATATTATCATTTGACTGAATGTGTTTCTTTTTGTACGAATATTATTTAAAGATTAGGTAAATAATTTCATGTTCTTAAATCGGGGCTTTTACTTTTTATTAAAGGTTATAATATGTTGTACATGTTACATATCCTAACGTCATACTCAGACAAATATACAAGATATTATATACTCAAGAGATTATTATAAAAGAAATGCATCGCAAGTTTTTTTCTAATTTGATATGTAAACACTAATGATGTTGGTAAAGCAAAGTCCGTGATCAAGACCACGGTAAAGCTAGTTACTAATTCTCGTAGCTAAGTATATTTTTAGATTTTTCAAAGAGCTGAAAATGGTCTCGGCATTAACCTTCGGGTCGTCGCGTGGGGTCTTTCAAAGCCCAGGTATTACAAAATCAATAAAAACCTATATTAAAAATAATCGTAGTGACTCTGCTACTTAGGTACCTTCCTGAATTGAATTATAATTGGCGCGTATTACTTCTAACTTCAGTTCGCAGATAAGCGCTGTGTGGTACGGACATGTTTGTGTGTGCGCAGGCTCTGAAAGACCCCACGCCGCGGACCGCGTAAGTAAAATTTTCATAACCTATTATTATGCATTTTTCGTAATACAACACCTTTTTTGTTTCTTATATTATAATTTCGTTATAATTAATGAACTTTAATTTTATTGTATTATATTGTGTTTGTTTTCATTGTTTTAGATTACTTTTATCATATTTTTATTAAAAAAAATGGACGAACAGCAGCAAAGACGCATATTAGTTGGCTAGAAGAAGATGTCGATGACATCCTCGATAGTGATGGTGATGGTTTCCTGATAAAGTGGGTGAGCATGACACTGACTCAGAACAAGAATGTGACGATGATTTGCATCAGGTATTTTAGAATTATGATGAATATTCGGAAATATCAAACGAAGAGCACTTAGGTTTGCGAATGGTGAATGAATCTATGGTAGCTCTCGAATCTGCGTTCAGTCATTGGGATGAAGAACCGTTGATAAATATTTCGTCCATTATCTTTTACATAGTAAAAACTACGAGAACGGAACGGAGACTACTAAAGGAAAACTACGAGAGTCGAGGGCAATTATTACGAATTTGCCGCGTGATTTTAGACAGACAGTTGAAGAAGATTTTTACCACATTTCAGGATATTCAACCTGAAGTAAACGTAGTGCCAATGAGAAAGCGATGTATTCATTGTCCTCGAAAAGCAGACAGGAAATTTAAATCTATTTGTCACTTTTGTAAGGGCAACATATGTACTGAATGTGTTCGTACTGAAAATTAATTAAGTTTTTCAATATGTCAAAGTTTATATGTTTTTGTGATTAAGTGTACCAAATTTTATAATAAAAGATAGACAATTTCATTTTCATCTGGATTACTTAAGTTTTTATAATAGATTTTTATTTCTGTTGATTTTTTATTTTAATTACCTAGTGTTCTCATGGAGAGAACTTTTAGCTCCTATTTCTGGTATGTAAGTTATAGCAACAAATATATAAATAACTAAATGTTTTTTTTTTGATTTTATTTTAATGATATCTAATCAAATAAGACTAAAATGTAAAATAATGTAGGTAAATATATAAATTTATGTATTTTTAACCAATTTATTTTAGGGGATTTCAAAGACCCTACGCGACGAACGACGTTACAAAAAAGCGCGACTAACCGAGGGTTAACTTCAATAGAACGAACTAAATATGACACATTTTTAATATTCAAATATTCAGACTGATAATGCTTGGCTTTAAACGTCACAAGCTTTTTTGTAAATTGAGTGTTATTTTTGCCTTTTCTTACAACCAAATTGCGTGCCTCTAACTCGATGCGTTATCGAAAGTGGAGCGTTACTCTCGACACGTCAAGTTCAAGCAATTTTGTGTTCTTAAAATGCCTCTATGGTAGTCCTGACCACGTTGCACTTATATAATAATATGAGTAGCCGTATATCAAGAAAATACTCTAATTATTAGATCTTATATTTCCAAACAAATCATTTTATATTGCTACTTTGAAATAAAAACGGATTTGAAAAAAAATATGTGGGCGTCCGAATAGTGATTTTGTATGTGGTCATGATAAATTCCGAAAGAACTGACGTATCGAGACCAGGTTTCCATTAGCTTCAGAATTACATCTACTGGTTCCCTGTTTCATATCAATAGCCTAGTACGTGTAAATTTTCGACTTTTATAAGTTTTATTGCTAATAAAAATTAAAGGCGCTTTCATTTTCTTTTAGCCCTTGGTGAGACGAAAAATAAATGTACCATACTGCCTATATCGATTTCTTACTTTGTGTAATCAGTTTATTTTGATTTTCTTTTTTATACCCTACCCGTTAAAATATTAGAGCGCTAAATTTAAAACTCAATGACACAATTAAATGAAACACTCATGAGGCGTGCCCTTTTAGATTTCTTAAATATTTGAAACTGTTCCTAAGTATTTTTCTTTTATCTGTGAATGACGGGCATGAAAAAATCAGTTTACACTTTAGTCATGTGGGCTAGTATGCCATTAGGTTTCATCAGCAGTATCAGTGCTGGCTTACAAAAGTATATCCCCAACGCTTTGGCGAGAGACAAAAATCTCTGGCTGCCGGACAGTCTCGAAAAAAGCTACGCGCCAATATGTTAATGCGGTTGAAACTGGCTCTCAGTGATGCTTTTTTGTAGGTTTGACAACGTGGTAGAAAGCTTTCTTCCTGTAGCTAATCTGGTGCTGTACATATTCAAGCGGTCCAGTTGGGCGCATTCGGCGTAAAACGATGTGCGAGGTTTGCTACGTATTAATGTGTCGACAAAGGGGATAAAACACTCAATCACTTGACACACCAGTAGGACGGATACTCACAAGAGTCCTAGACCTTCCAACAAGGCATTGATGGTCAAAGTTTTTTCTCTCCGCAACTCTTTTCCTGTTACATATCAGTGTTATGCTTATGCATGTATCTATGGGTATGCAGATGAAAGCACATTTGTTAAGAGATATCTGCCAAATAAATGTTCGGACTAGTCTGGTATAAAATCCAGTTCAAAATAAAAACTATGCTTGAGCATGTAAATCTTTCACTGCAGAAAGCTTATGTAATTCAACGCATTTAGCAGTAAGAATGTTTCTTCACATCAAAAAGCAGCCAGCTCATTTTGTCTTTCTAGATATAGTCCTGGAATGCAATAACCACCTTCGTTTTTATTGGTTATAATTTCCTCGAAATTGAATTATGGTTCACGGCCAAACAGCTGTAAGAAAGTTAGGTGTTCTTGCAAATGTGCGATACATAGCTCTAGGCACAAGATTTTGATCAAATTTATTATAAAGATTTCCTAGGTCTAATAATAACAAAATAATTTTGTAAAAGGAAAATGCACAGCTCCTTTGTGTTTTTAATTTAATCGAATTTAGTTCAAATTTTATGTTTGGGTGTGTGTATTTACTATATCCAGTGGTAGTATTGTATAAAATAATGACATCATATACCCTAAAGTAGTGTGTAGCTTTTCTTAAAAAAAAACAGCTCTAAAAGACGAGCTTATTGCAGCAGTTTTCCCAAACTTAATGAATAATGCTTGAAATGAAAAATGCTGTATAAAGCTGCAGCTCGAATAGGTAGGAATACCAACGTGAAAAAGCAGAATAACGCTGCTGTGCTGCGCATGGTGAGTGCACATAGCCGGGAATCCTTTCTTTACTGGTTATGAGGCATTTCATCATATTCTTCAGGGGTAACAACGCATCTGCATTTTGATTCCTAATCGAAGATAGATGTAGATAACTACGACCCGCAGCACCTACTAAACACCTTATTCTAAAAAAAAAACTTTAATCGCCAGTGAAGATGTAACTGCCTACACAGTCGTGCTTTTTTACTCTTTAGAGTTAACGGACGTGGTTTCCCATGAACTGATGTTAAAAGTAAGCGTCATAATTCGGCTATTGTGTAAACTTGACTTATGGATATATAAACTTGAATTGTGCAACGGCACAAGGCTATTTATTATCGTGGGGCAACTGGGTCCTCTCTCACTTTGCGTTGTTGAAAATACGCCCCGGGTTCAGCATAATTTTAGTGCTAGCACGGTTTCTCAAGGTCACTTCCGACTCACCGTTCTTTTAAGGGGTCCCGCCCTGAGCGCCCGCAATACTGAATATCGCATTATCTCAAGAAGTTTCTGTCTACAATTTTTCGCGTAGAGTTAAAATTGCTTATGACACGATCCGTATAACATATCGTTAAAAATAATACCTGTAAAGTATTTTAGTTTTTTATCACTAACTTATTAACAAAGCGCTGAAGAGTTATAACTAGATGAAGAGCTGGCTGATTCAAGGATATAATTTAAAGTGACCTACACCGTAGTAAGTGATGTGATTTATGGTACGATTTATCTTTACATTCCTGATATTATGATTTAAAATTTTTCACCACCACGTGTATGGTTTGGGCGCTCGATACTCTCAAGCAGCCAACATTCAAATGATCACACGATAAGCGCACAGTTCCTAAACGCTACTTTTAAAGTTTGGCCCTGAATCTTATTAAAATTATTTATTATTAATATATAAATTACGTGGTAGAGCCATGCTGCAGTTATATTAGTAGTATAGTTGTAGCACGAATGGGTCGGCTCGACCGGGGAGGGACCACGCTCTCACAGAATACCTGCGTCAAATAGTAGCTTAATGCTGCTGTGTTTCGTATGGTGAGTGTAGAGAACCGGAGACCCATTTTTACTGGAAAGGAGGCAATCCACCTAAGTCCTCACGGGTGACAACACATATGCATTTTGATTCGTAATCGAGGATAGATGTAGATGTCTATGGGCCACAGCAACCGCTTACCATCAGATGGACTGTGTGCTCGCTTGTCACCCTATCCTATAAAAAAAAAGTTAATGACGAATTAGCGGGAATTACAGCCTTTAAATTTAAATCTACCCTCTGAAACTATATTTGTGGGAGGCCTAAATTCAGAAGTGGTTTTGATAGACTTTAATAATGGTGATTATGATGATGATGTTAAAATTGAAAGGTTAGTCCACTTGAAGAAGGCACAGCCTCGGATTATCCCTCTGCATACCGTCACATATTAGACAAGATTTGAAAATTGTTTTAGAGGATAGTTACCACTCAGCTCAAGGGGTATATGTCGCGGGTCGCACCGTGAGCGTATCACTGTAGATACGACTACATCGCCTGTTACCTGTCGGAACAAGTAGTATCCCAGAGCAACGTGAGGTTGGCGATAATATATTTTATTTATACACTGTAACTAGGCCGTCGTAATTTCGGGTTACAACACATCGTGATATCTACCAAAAAATGCATAAATTTGTCTTCCGAATAAGCTAGTACTATAGTTATATATTGATGCAAACAGAAAAAATTGACTACCATCGGTGATATTTCGGGACGGATACAACTAAGTGACCTACAAAAAATGGGTTTACTCCGTCTGAGAAGGTTGGCAACACACCTACAATTTTCCTGGTATTGCAGGTTGAAAACCTGCAATTTTCCTGGTGTTGCAGGTTTTCATAGACTAAAAGTATATTTTTAGTCATGGTGTATTGTTAGTAATAATACATCACGACTAAAATATTATTATAGTATAATATTACAATAACATAGTTACTGATACGTACTATTTATTGCAGTTATGCATTACAGTCCGGCCTTAGGGCTCGCGTTTGACTTACAAGCTTGCAATTCCTTGACATTCTTATTGGCCAGGTCCACAGTCAGTTCCCGCATTGTTTCTGAATAAAAGTTCGTACTATCACTAGACTAGACCCATGAGAAAAAAAACGTTTCAGAATGACGTACAAACCAAGTGTGTGAAATGTTGGTCCTTAGATACTGAGGTAACGACCACCATTATAATAGTTACATAACATTTTTTTTAGTAACATGTTAATGTGTAGATAAAAATGTCATATTCTGCGAATATTGTCCAATTCATGTCCGTCGAATTGCAATAATTCATACGAAAGACACAAAAACATAAAATTTATTGTATAGGTCTTATACCAACCATGTAAAATATTACAATTTAAATAGCAAGCTTTATGATTTATCTTGTTTATTATAATATTATGACTTAACTGAACGAAGAGAGCATTCAAAGAGCTTGTTAATTATTAATCTTACACGAAAAGAACGTTTCAGAAGGATTCTCCATCTGACTGGTGAAATTCGTGTAGAATTCAGTAAGATTCTGAACGCGTTAGCGTCAACACGTCTCAAAACAAAATTGCTTAAGACTATTTTGGAAATTTTGCTTGTAAGAGAACCGGTAAAATATTGTTACTTCACAATACAATTATACGTGCAATATAATTATCGTGCACATTTATAATAAACTTTGTGATTTTTTAAAGACGTTAAAAGAAAGTTTTCCTAAATCCTGTGAATAAAGTTACGTCTACAGCGTTTCTTGAAATTGTAAGTTACTTAATAGAGAAAACTTATAAAATAAGCATTTACAGTTTTCAAAATAATATATTTTTAAATTTATTTATTTTTTAGTTTAGAAAACAATATTGCCGTTTAATAAATTATAGAATTACCATTAACATTTTATCAAAACAGCCTGTCAATGGTCCAATGCTGAATATAGGCATAGAAACACCCATAGATAAAATATTTCCATAGCTAGCACACTTA